GTTCAGGGTGTAGGGTTTTGGGGTTGTGTGGGGTTTGGGCTGGATTATGGTTTCTGGTATAGGGATTAGGGTTCTGCAGGAGATGTACGTTGGCTGGAAAGAAATGGAGCTTGTTGGCGCCGGAGGGGTAGGAACGACTAAACTTTCCCGTCGCGAAAAAGCAGGATCGTCATGCGGACCAATTAGGTGTCATCATAATTCCTCCTTTTTGCAGTAGTGGCCGTGGCAGCAACAGCAACAGCAGTGGCGGTGGCGGTGGCGGTGGCCGTGGCCATGGCGGTGGCGGTGGCAGCGGTGAGGTTACATGATGGTTAAGACAGTTCAGGGTGATGGAAGTGATGGCAGTGATAACGGGATTACAGTTCTGATCGCCCTCAGCTGGAGAGGCCGTGCGGAAGGAACTCGAAGCCAAGTTCTCTGCTGCACAGGCAGCTGGCTGTTGCAATGTCCATTGTTGTACACAAGCGCAGCTCTTGGTCAGGCATCTTGGCAGGCCAAGGAGGGTGAGGCCTCACAGGGAGTGATTCAAAAAGTCCACTCCTTGAAGCTTGCGGTCTGTAGTAAGAATCCAACTGGCTGCAGCGCGGCTGTGTTACAAGAGGGGGTTAAGGCGACCCTTTTTTTCAAGAAGCCGCACCTCCCCCTTGCCAACAGAAAGCTTGGAAGGTGGCAGGGCTGTATTGCACTTTTGGGGTCCACTCGGACTGCACCTGAAGCTGGTTCGAAATCAATCATGGTGAGACCGAGCAAATCGATACTAGCACGCCCTGGATGCTTGAATATGGGATTCGGAACAGTTCCGCCAGAAGAGCTCCATAAAGCCCTCCACAATTTTTGGAAGTTTCCGTGCAGGCGACTTTCAGCGAATCTGTTGCTCCCAAAGAGATAGGTTTTCCCCTTGCAGGCCATTGCGTGGCAAAAGCATTGCGATGTTCTTGAGAAGGACAGCAGCTCAGGGGTTGCTCTTTCCAGAGGTTGCTTTCCGAGTACGCAAACTCGAAACCGGCTTTTTCGAGACGGTTTTGCAGGACCTTCGCGCGCTGCGGGCGGACAAGGCCCTTACTCGTTCAATGATGTGCATTCCTCTTCTTCACCAGAAGGCTGACTATGATTTTCACTTCCGCTTAGGCTGCCAGTGACTCCCAGGTGGAGCGCCTCACTGCAGCCCAAGGAGATTTTAGCAATACTTGCACCGCCGCCTAGGGAGCTAGAAGCAAGCCTGAACTCTCAAGGAGAGAGCATGCGGCTGCTGGAGGAGAGCCTGCTGATGCATAGGATCTCATAGGCTTTGGTTGCCTCGCAAAGATTCTGAGCTGGGACTACTTGAATGGCATCGGTTGCACTGCAGCCTGCTTGTTCCTTCTCGAGGAGCTGCAAAAAGAGGTGAAACGTTTGCGTGAAGAGCTCCAGGAGGCTGCTCGGAGAGATTCTGATCTCCTAACTCTCGTGGACCGAGGCAGGGGAGCGTGTCTTTCATGCTGCAGGCCCAGAAGTTTGAGCCCCTCGAGCTTCTCCTTCGACTAAAGCGATTGGAGGACTCGTCGCCATAATGATCCGCAGAAGCAAATAGGCACTGCTCGGATCTAGCTTGCAGGAGGAGCTCCAGGAATCAGAGACTGCCAGGCTGTTTTCCTCACGTGTGCTGAAATGCTTGAGACGGCCGGACTTGCCTGAAAGGCGCCACTTGGAGCGCGAACGTAAACGACGTCCTGGCAGCAGCTGCTTGCCTTCAGGATTTCTCTGCAAAAATCTGCAAGGACCCATGTGATTGCGGGGAACCTTCTTTTAAGCCATTGAAGAGAGGGTGGTTTGCTAATCACGGCCTTTATCAAGTCCGAAATCTTCTGAGTGAGGCAACTTGTTGCATTCAGAAAAGTGTTTTAGGGTACACAGGACAGTGCCATCAGCCTACTTGTTCGCTGAGGTGTCGCCAGCATCTCCGCAATCTTAGAGGTGCTTTCTGCTTTTCCCTTTTCTGTGACCACAAGCGAGCTACGGCTTCTTCGGATGTCTTACTTACTCGCGTCAGGATGACGAGCAGCCGAAGGCTCTGCCAGAAGCCTCCAAACCTCCACAGTCTCCAGGTGCAGACAGCGCCAGTGATTCTGATGGCAGCAGCATAAACAAGATTGCAACCATGCAACCATGCCAGACCATGTTGTAGTTCTGTCCTTTTGAGGCATGACGCTCAGCTCCCAAATAGTTCCATTCCCCCGATATGTGAGGCAAGAACGGTGTAATTTCAGCGCTGGACGAGATTCAGGCGCATGTTGCTGCTGGCAGGTGTTGCCAGCATAGCTTAGCATCTCTGCTTCAACCGCAAGACACTCACGGGACATGTATGGAAGGAGAAGCTTGCTGCCCGGGAGAAGGCTTTGAACGAGGTCAAGCACTCTTTTGCCAAGGCTCAATAGTGAAAAGAGTGTAGAAGTTTTTAGGCTTGTGGCGTCTGGCTGCCTGACAGGATCCTGCACCAAATGCTCCCAAGGAACCGCCATCGACGATGAAGGACCGGGCAGCATGACTTGCTCACTGTTGATTCTGTGGGAAACCAGAAGTCTCATGAAATTAGCTCTTGGCAGACCGCATCGTGCCACTTGCAGCTGGAATTGTCGCATCTTCACATGCAACGCGGTGAGGGCCTGCCGTCTTTGGCAGAGCTGGAACGTGACTTCGGAGCGCCTGGGGCCCTGTAGCACTCCATTATCATAGAGAGGTTTGTCGCAGACCTTGCTGGCTTAAGTACAGGTAGTTATGTCCAACTCGTGCTTGTGGCATTCAATCCACGATCTCGAGGTATGCCCGATCAGTGGGTTTCAAAGGTGACGTCAACCAGCTTTGGGAAGAGGCAGCATTGCTTGCTCCATCTGCTGCAACGGTTGAATTTACTGAATGAGGAAGTTGGCCAACGCCATTGCGTGTTACATGTTCAACCCAAATTAGAAGTTCACATGATCGGTGCAGGCCCAGGCGGTGGCAGCAGCTACGTCACTGGGACAGGAGGCAGTGCCTGCCAAAACAAATGCCCTTGAACGCAAAGTATCTTTGCTAATGATGTTCTGGTCGAAGTGGGCTGTAAATGAGTCAGGACGAGAAGTATGTCAAATCAGCCTTTCAAACATCATCAGCTTCAATTGGAATCCCAGTGTTACACACAAATCCATAGGACCCGGATGCCTCTCCGACATCCGAAAACCCTGTACTCCACAAGCACAATCTAGGAAAAGGCTTAACTCCACAAAGTGTCATCAAAAGCTGCATATAAAACATGTATACACGCTTCATGAATCCTTGCAAGCTCATACAGGCTGTGACACCTCATGCCTGGAGGGTGAGAATCGGATTTTCAATGATGATGCTGGCGAGGTCAGCAGGGGCCAGCATGGCATCATCATCATCACCATCATTGCGGGTCCATTTCTCCATTTCTGGCCTTGACTGTGCCCGTGCAGAGGGCATGTGCCCATGATTTTATTTTGGACCCCATCATCCTTCAAAAATGCAGCCTCAAAGGCACATGCCAACATGTCAACATTTGAGCTTGCTTTCATGGTGGGACCGGAAGGATCAGCTGGAGAAGCAGAGGTTCAATGATGCGGGGCCGGTGATATCAGCGACCGACGATGTGTGTCCGCTAGAGCTCTAGCCCCAAGCTTTGTTACAGGTTGGGCCACTGAGTTGCAGTTCCACAGACCCGCTCGCCCTGGTGAAGTCTGGCTCCGGGAGCTTTCGGTCTTGACGCAACTGGAGCACTCCGCAAGAAACGAAAACCCAATGATGCTGAGTTGGGTCCCCGTTTCTCATCCACAGAGCCGCAGATGCAGAATTACTGCCGGAGCCTGCGTCTAGAGCTAATCAAGCTCAACAGGACAGCACGGCTATCCTGGTTTTATGCTCTGTAGGAAGCTTTGGCCAGGTTTGTGGGTTGATGATGGTTTTAGGCTGGGTTTATGGGTGTAGAATGACGGTTTTTTAGCGTATTGGGCTTCTGGTGGTTTATGATGTTTTGATGATGGCTTTGTCAGGTTGGTCGGCATTTTCTCGGGCCTTTTATTAGTATTGTGGATTCTACAGTAAGTTGTCAATCGGATGGTGGTTTGGGGGCTTGTCATGGCTTGCAGTTGTTGAAGCAGCATCTTGTCAAAGGCATGTTTATGAGTATGGATGAGGAAAGGTAGCGAAATGGGAGCACAAGTGTGCTGATGATGTGCGTTTCCCTCCCACGCGCTCGGACTAAAGCATTTGGCCTCACTTGCGAGCGTCTTTGTGCGGTTTTGTGGGCTGCAGCCTTCATGCGTGAAGGCTGCAGACTTGTTAAGTTTGGTGCCAGCAGTAGGGTTCGCCGAAATTCGAAATTCGAATAAGAATTTATCAGCTGGACAGCCGCTTCCTTGAAGACTGTCGCGCAGCGGGATTATTCTGAATTGGAACTTTTACACCCTAATCAGAGCGGGAGTGCTCCACGGCTGTGGCGAGAAGCTCCTGAAACCCATACCAGGATAGTCTGGGTTTATCCCCCTATAACGGAGAATCAA